GGGGAGGGGGGTTGACAAAAAGGTTGTAGGTTAAAAAAGAGAGGTTGGGGGGTAAAAAAAAAGGGTTCCCCAAATTTAATGGTCATTTTTGGCGACTTGAAAATGACGGCTAAACTGTTGCGGCATCACTTGCCTCAACAAAGTGCTTGAAGAAGATGCCTATCAGAGTTGCATTGTTTGTTGCTGCTGGTGGTGCTGCTGATCTTCTCCTGGTTTGCTGGTTTGTTGCTGCAGCTGTTGTTGTTGTTGCTGCTGCTGCTGCTGCTTTTGCTAGCGCTCTGCCACTGCTCGTTCGTGTGATGTTTTCAATCACTGTTGCCCCGCATCCGTCCATTATTAACCGATTTAACCAATTTTTTCATAGTTCATCATAATTCAATCAATGACCTTCAGAAAGGGGGGTTGTCAAGCCTTCTGCAAGCCTTAATTACGTCTTGCTGCAAAGGCAACACAACACAGTTGTATAAATGCAATCGAATTAAGATGCAACGGCAATTTGTCCAGAACATGTTAAAATGGGAAGAAACATGTTGCTGCGAGGCCTTTGAAGTTTCATGCTTGAATGGCCTGAATGGTCTACATTCTTGTTTGTTTGTGCTCCAACTGTCCTCGCAGGCTGGCTGGCTTCAGTTTGAAGCAGGAGCTCATGCTCATATTATGGCCCAACATTCTGCTGAAGAAATGCAAATCATTTTGTACCGTACCTTAGCTGTTCAGCTCCTGTTTGCGTCCGCCTTTGTAGACCAGAACGACTCACAGTCATACTTTTGAAACATGTTCAATTGGCAATCCGAACTGGCATCCGAACTAGAGGTGGGCGAGATTTGGTGCTTTATGATGCACACCACCACCGGGCATTTGCCCGGAGAGTGACGCAGGAGCAAGCACAAGTTTTGCTTCGCAACCGCAGGAACAGCTCCTGTCCTTTGTGTAAGCAAGCGTTGAGTGATTCATGGGCATTTGTAGTGGAGGGCTACTGGGAAACAATAAGAAGAGTTTTCTCCGCGAATGCTTCTTGTGATGAAGAAGCGGCAGCAATTGCGCAACTTCATAGCATCGCTGCAGGGCTGTTGAACACAGGGTATTACGCTCGGTTTTTCAAGGAGGAGAGAAAATTGGGTTCAGGGTCATTCGGTTCGGTCTACTTATGTACTCACATGATGGATGAAATTGAGTTGGGAGTTTTTGCAGTCAAGAAGTTGGCACTTGGGGATGATGCCAAGCGACTTCGACAAGTCGTTCGAGAAGTGAAAGCCTTGGAGAAACTACGACACATCAATGTGATTGACTACAAGCATTCGTGGCTTGAAATTGATCGTCACTCTGAGCTGTGCCCATATGTGCCGTTTTTGTACATCCTTATGGAGGTTCGGATGCACCTAGCGTTTTTGTCTTCAAAAATATCAACATTCTGTACTACAATGTGTCCGCTTTGCGTTTTGGTACCGCTTGTTGTTAGGTGTCAACTCAGGAATATTGCAACTATGGTTCACTGGAGAGTTTCATTTGGCACAGGGATCCTGGTTTTGTTCGAGGGAGGCCTGACAATGTGAAAAGATCACGAGAATTAGGCGAAGAAATGATTTGGCATTTTTTCCATGGCACCTTGGAGGCATTTAGTATTGTGAAGCTTCCCGCAAGAGTAGTTGAAAGCTGAAAGGATTGCATAACAGATTACTGCAGCTACACAGCTTCAATTGTTTGTTAAACATATGCGTTTTTGTTTTTACAAATTTAGAATCCTTCAAGTCTTGCAACATCAGGCACATGCAGCGGCTTGGACCACCTGCATTGCCGTGGTATTCTACATATGGATTTGAAGCCATCCAACATTATGTTGCATGTGGACGAGGTGGGGTTGAGTGCATCACCAGGTCACATAAGTTTTAGCATTGGGGTGTACACCCTGTGTACCCACCCCAATGCTTTTGATGTCCCCCCTGCCTTTCAGATATCTCCTGGAATCGGTGAATCACCGAAAAAAGCAAGGAACATATAGAAATTGCTCCTAGTAGTAAGGCCAGGAGCCCCTAGTAGCATCCTTGCTCCCTAGTAGCGATGCCAGGAGCCCCTAGTAGCGATGCCCTTGCTCTTAGTAGCTTCTTGATAGTAGTAGTAAGGCCAGGAGCCCCTAGTAGCGTCCTTG